AGGAGGAGGAGGAGGAGGAGGAGGAGGAGGAGGAGGAAGGCAGCAAGCTCTGGGCTGGGAGGAGGCCGCGGCTGGAATGTCAGCTCTGCCTGTGACGGTGGCCTCTGGGCCTTGGTTTCCCTGATTGCAAAATGGAGAGTGGGAGGCCAGCCAGGCTCTGTCTGTGTCGGCTCCTACACAGAGCGGTTTGTAAGGCATGTGAGCATTTGTTAATACAGGAAAGATCTATTTATGGAAAGTCTCCAGAAACAGACGCAGGAGCCCCTCCGCGCTTCAGACTTCGGCTTCCCACTCTTGCCCCCAGCAGACGCCGGGCGGTGACTGGGACATCTGTGGTTGTCACGACTCGGGGAGCTCCTGGCGAGGAGTGGGTGGAGGCCGGGGACGCTGCTCAGGGCCCTGCAATGGCCAGGACGGACCCCCGGAGAACCAGTCGGGGGAACCCTGGCCCAGATCGGCCCGGGCTTGGTTTCCGTGCACGTTTTCCCGGCCGTGACCTGCAGGGGGCAGCGCAGTCCTGGCTGCTACGACGAGCAACGCGGGGGCTCAGGCGGCCTCGGGGCTGCACTGCGGCTTCTGAGCCCAGCTCTGCCCTGGGTGGCCGTGTGGCCTTCAGCAAGTCATGGAACGTCTGTGTTTGTGCTCCGGGGGCCTTGGAGACGACCGGGAAGGTGGCAGGGGGGGGACGCTGTGGCCCCATCACCAGCCCGGGTGGCCGGAGCCGGCCATTTCTCAAAAGAAGGTGGTAGAGGGGATGTGGGGTGACTTCTCCCCCAGTCTACCGCGGTGACGCTCTCAGGAGCAGCCCTGTCAGCCCTGCAGCCTTTGGGGGTCCACACGCTGGACCGAGTGGGGACAAACCTGCCAAGCTCTGGGCTTCTCTTCCCGACCGGCCAGGTGACCTCAGGGGTTCCTGACGGTCCAAGGAGGGAGGGGCAGCCAGAGCTGCCCGCGGGGAGGACGGGAGGAGGCCTGGCTCTGCGAGCGCAGAATCAGAGGCTGCCCAGGCCTGTGCACGTGTCTTCCACGTTCCCCACTGGCTGTGTCTCTGGGGAGCCCAGGCGAGCCCAGGGCCGGGATGCATCTGCACTGCCCTTGTCCTGACTCCCTGCTATGAGAACTCTTCCAGACAACGGCTCCGCTCCTGCCCTGGGTGACTGGTGCCCGCCAGGCTCACGCCCATCCAGAACCTCAGACCGAGAGCTTATTTGGGACAGCAGATGTAGATGGTGGAGGTCACACTGAAGTAGGGTGGGGCCTAGTGGTGACATTATGAGGGAATACAGCACAGAGACACAGAGGAGGCCACGTGACGACAGAGGCAGAGACTGCAGCGATGCGGCCACAAGCCAAAGCCTGATGGCTGCCACTGGAAGCTGGGGAGGCAAGGAGGCTCCTTCCCTGGCGCCTCCAGAGGGAGTGTGGCCCTCCTGACACCTCAATTTCAGACTTCTGCCCTCCAGAACTCTGAGAGAATAAATGTCTGTTGTTTTAAGCCACTAAGTTGGAGGTAATTTGTTCCAGCAGCCCTCAGAAATTAATATAAATATCCTCATCTGCAGTGTCTATGGGGTGAGTGGCTTGTGCAGTAGTCAACCTGAACAACCATATATGGTGGGCCTGCTGTTTAACCCTTTTCCTCCTTGGGAGGTTCTCTTCCAGATGTCCTGGGAGGCCATCTTCCTCCTGCTCCCCCTTCACCTCTGGTCTCGCCTTCCCACCCTGTCTTGTGGCTTCTCTGGGCTGGGTGCCCTCAGAGTGTGGCTCTGAGCTCTTCTCAGCTCCCCTGAAGCCTTCAGGACCCCTCCCAGTCCAGTCTCCTGTCCTGGCCCCATGTCTCAGTTGCAGACACTTTCCCGTTTCTAGGCTCCTTCCAGCCGCTAACTTAATCCACAGGTGACTCTGGCAGCTTCTTCAAACCAGGGCCTTCCATTGCGGTAAACGGCTCCACTGACCCTCTGGGCCTGCCCTTGCCCACTCCCCTCCCACCCGGCCCCAGCAAACCCTCGGGCGGGGCCTTCAGAGCCACTGGACCACTGGAGCAAGTCTGCTCCTTGTCCAGGTCCCCAACACCCTGCCACCCTTATCTGAGTATGATCTTGTACAGCTGTGCACTGTGACCGTGGTGGGAGGGGACACTCCCCGTTTCTCTTCTCGCCCCGAACTTCTCTGGGACTCTGGTGAGGGCTGCCATGGTGGGCGCTTATGCCCTGGTTATGAGGCTGAAAGGGCACCTTTGCTTGGCATCCTTCCCTGTCTGCTCTTCCCACCCCCTTCCTGGGTTCTCTTGGGTGCACCCCCTTATAAAATCACCAGTACACAAAATGCCTACCTCAGGCCCCGCTTCTGGGGACCCCCCCCAACAAAAAAGAAAGCAGCCCATTCATACCCAACGTTAACACATAGTCCTCAACCACCTTCCTGGGCTCAGAACTGGCCCCAGCCAGGGGACACCGCGCATAGGCACCTGCAGCCCCGCAGGCTTCGGCCAAACTCCGCAGCCTTCCCGCCTCCCATGTGTCCCACACTCCGGCTCTAAATTTGCACCTGCTGGGCCTCTTCCCTGCAACCCCCCTGCCCCGGCCCGCGCATCGCCAGGCTCTTCCAGGAATCCCCACTTGCCTGCTGGGAGCCTGTCCCCTAAGGTGGGGGCCCTGGGTGACTGGGCTGCTCTCTGTAAATAGCATGATTTTGAAAATCATGAACTGCAAGGTGAAACTCAGCACCTGCAAAAAGGCGTCACAGACGCGAAGCCGGCCAGAAGGACTCGCGCCGCATGCAGCGCGCTGCCCAGCGCCGGACCCAAGCCCGGACCGTCCAGCCCGCCTTGTCCGGTCCATCCCTCCCAAAAAGGCACCGCAGACTACAACTCCCAGCACGTCCCGGGCCCCCGCGCCGGCGCTGCGGGTAAGGAGCCGCGCGGGGCATGCTGGGAATTGAAGTCCGCCACCGCCCCACCCGCCCAAGCCGGCCCGCTGCGCACCTCTGGGAGTGGTGGGCCAGGCGAAGGTGCCACAGTGCGCGGCCCAGGCGCTGCTGCTGCAGCAGGAGCTGGCCCGGGGGCTCCCCGGCGCCGCCGTTTACAGGCGAGCGCAGGCCCATGTTCTCGAAGTAGTGGGCCAGGAAGGCGATCGGTTCCTCGGGCCGCGCCTCCAGCACCTTCAGCAGGGCCGCCCGTAGCATCTCCGTCACGCCGACCTGCCGCAGGAAGTCCTCCTCGCTCTCGGCCGCCCCCGCCGCCCGGGATACCGACTGGCGGCCGCTGTCGGTGAAACCAGCCGGTGGTGCTACCGCTGGCCGCCGCTTCTCCACTGCCGCCATCTTCGCTGAGGGCATCGGGACCGGAAGCACCGCCATATTCCACCGTGCGCTAGAGCCCCCAAGGCGGCCATCTTGATTAAGGGCAGAGGGCACTGGGATCCCGCTGGGAAACTTTGGGAAATGACAAAGGCCCGCTGCCCCTTTCCCTGTGTCCTTATCGGCATTCTCTTTTCTCCTCCCTGTTTGTGTATATTGATTGGCTTTCCTGTCTTTGGCCTGGATCCTGAATTTTGCCAGACTCCAAAATGGCTGCCTCGGAAGTGCTCCGTTTCTGGCACGAAGCCGGATTGCTTGTCATTTGGGTAGTGAGCGAGTCCTTTATTAGCCTGGTCTCCTAGCAACCAGTCTCCCCGGTTACCAGAGGCCTGACGGAGCATGCGCGGGGATGGACCTACCGAGGACTGCTGGACCCAGCCCCGCGCCCGGCCCGCAGACCCTTTTTTCATGTTCATTTCTGAGCCTTGGTGCTGGGGGTCGAGCCCCGCCGGGACTTCCGCCTGACCCAGTCTCCGTCTGAGTGCGCAGCTCCCCTCGTGGGAGAAGCCCCCTCCCCAGCCCAGCTCCGCTGCAGCCGCGCTGAGCCCCTAGTGGCGGCCACCCGGGCGAGCATCCCAGGCTGTTACCCTCCTGACCGCCAGAGGGAGCCTTCTGACACCGCCGCCTCCAGAGCTCTAAACTCTCCCATGGCTCCCCAGTACCCCCAGGCTGTCACCTCCAGCCCTTGCTGACCTCGCTTCCAGCCGCCCTCCCGCCCCTCCCAACCCTCCTCAGCCCCCGGCCACCTCAAAGCACAGCCTCCTGCTCAGGCCACCTCTCCGTGTGTTTCCCCAGGCGACCTCTATATATCTGCCCTCACTTCTCCCACAGCTTTCGGGGAGTCCTGGTTAAGCTTCTCACCAGGGAGACCACTAAGCCCTCGCATTTTCCTGCCCCCGGCAGAGCTTGCTGGGTGCCCTCCCTGTCCCTCAGGGCCATTGCCCTGGGCAGGCGGTAATGAGAGCTGTTTTGGGGAGTGGGGGGCGCGTTCCACCATCCTCCGACCACAGGAGTCTCTGGCGGGCAGACCAAATGCCCTTTGTCCAACGTAAACTAGAGGTTCCTCTTCATACTATACTTTCCTCCCCATCTAATTAGGAATAAATAGTAACTTCTCTTAGAAGCAAAATGTATTCAAAGATCTGTGCTAACATTCTTCACTATCTGCTGGCTGTACTAAATCAACGTACTTTATATTCTCAGTTGCCACCAGGTAGCCTAAATATTTGCCCTGGCATGCTTATGCTGGTCCAAGCGGGCATTAGGTCACAGCCTGTTCCTCTTCCTTATCTGAAGGTGCTTTTACCTTTCTCAGCATTCCACAAGTTACTTCTTCCTTCCTTTGCTCTCCTCTGCCTTTGCCTCTTTTACAAAGTTCTAAGTTGCCGGCCGATCGGAACAAATACAAAAGGTGAGGTCCTGTTCCAGCCAACAGAAACTGGACACAGAAGCAGGGTGGACGCGTCAGGTTAGAAATGACCCTGTCTCCTTTGTTCGGTGTACTCTCGCGGCAAAACTGCAGGTGAGTGCACCCTTTCTGCAGAAAGTAAACCAATGGCCTTGCCGAGGAAATTAAATTTATGTTCCAGTGCCATTTCTTTACGGCACCAGGGAACAAGCATTCCTGACACTTTATTCTCCAGCCCTGGACTGTGGGATGAGGGAGATGGAGCCATCAGGGCGGGGCCCACAGTCAGCCCTCCTGCTGTCCGGAGCCCTCAGATCTCTCCTCTCCACGGAGTAGGTGTCCACTGAGAAAAATGACAAGTTTCAGTTTCTATCCTTTTAGGAGGTTTATTTGCCAAAGCCTCAGGAGGTCCTGACGGCAGGGGCCCAAGGTGGTCAGGGCATAGCTGGTTTTACGCATTTTAGGGAGATATGACACATGAATCAATATATGTAAGAAGTACGTTGGTTCCGTCCAGAAAGTCGGGGGTCACTCTAGCGGGGGGGGGGGGCTTCCAGGTCACAGGTAGGCGGGACAAACGGTCACCTTCTTTTGAGTTTCTGATGAGCCTTTCCAAAGGAGGCGATCAGAATGTGCGTCCCTCTCTGTGACCAGAGGGATGACTTTGAATAGAATGGGAGGCAGGTTTGCCCCGACCAGTTCTCAGATTGAAGGGGTCCAACCTATTTTCCCTTCACAGGGGGAAGGGCTGGCTACTCAGAAGGGGCTACTCCCGACCTGGTCGGTCCCCCTTAATCCAGCCCAGGTCGACACCTGGGGCAGGAGCCTCAGAGAAGCTGGTGGGTGGGCGCCGTCCTCAGCCAGGTGCCGGCAGCGTTTCCAGAGGTGATAGGTGGGCAAAGCCAGGAGCAGCAGTCCCAGCACCGCACTGCTGGTCCACAGAGCCGTGGGCAGCTGGTCACCC